TGTTGCTTCATAAGTGGGGTTACAGAATTAGTGTTTTAGCTATCGTTCGATATTGTTAGATGCTTGCTTTTTGCTGGCTGTGGATTATTTTACTGTATTCTCTTGAGAGACTGAACTCTGGAGTCAGTTGAAGGGGTGGAGTGAGACTGCTTTGCACCTTGGCTGGTGACTGCTGGTAGAAAGGCTAAGAAGTAAAAAACCGCCAAAAACAAAAACAAAACAAACAAACCAAAACAAAACAACAAACAAACAAAAAACACAAACAAAAAAACCACAAGAGTTTTGGTTCATATAATACCATTGGAGAGCTGGAAAGGATTTACTTTTTGCTGCTGAAAAAGATGAAGTATCAGGAGTATGGACTTGGAAAGTAGTAGATTTCTGTCTTCTGTTATGTGATTGGCTCCTAATTTTCAGTAGTTTGTGGGACTTTCTTTGCAAATTGATCTGTTGCCATTCTTTCTCAGTCTGGAAAAGACTTTTCTTTTCTTGGTGCCTGTTTGCTCAGAAATGCTGCTTATGTCTTCATAAATCTCTGAGTTCCAGACTAATGCTCTTGTTTTGCTGCTGTGCTTTGGTTGTCAGTCATGGAAAATTATTTAACAAAGTGACATCACAACTGCAGGGCAGTACACTGAATTCTGGGGCAAGCTACAGTTTGAGTTTTATTTGTTTTTTTCTAACACATTTAGAGTAAAAACAAACCTGTACTAACAGTGTGTATTCCAGTAAGTGTTTGTTTACAGGAAATTCATTGAAGTACATTTAGATCAGTTACAGTAATTGTGCAGAGATAGGCCAAGTTGGAATATATTAAATTTTGGTTTGTGTGTGCTGGTAGTAGGTGTGGTAGTAGTAGCAACACATATGGTGTTGTGTTTTCATCTCTTACTACTTGGCCAAGAATATAATTTGTACTTTCAACAACTTTGTTCCTCAAGAGTAAAATATCAGTAGGTATATTGACTTTCTATTTAATAAATGAAATGCAGGAGTTTTAAAAAGAGGAAATGCTCTCCCTGTATGCGAAAAGGTTTTCACACAAATAACTTACATTAGAACATTGTCTTTATTTAAAGATTAGAAGATAGCATGAAAGCATGCTGCAGCTGCAGTTTGTTCACTATACTGAAATGCTTTTGTTCGTTTTTAGTAATACTAAAGTTCATGCTAACTCCTCCCATCCTGTCTACTTTGTGTTTAGATTGGTGAAAGACAAAAAAACTTGGAAATGGCTTAGAGAAGACAGCTATAAAATTTGTCTTACAGAACAAGTACGTGATACGTGCTCTGTGAGCTCTTCTGTCTGGAGGATTATGAAGTATTCTAGCTGCTGAAGTGAAAAAGGTGGCTTATGGAAGGGGTCTTGCTAGGGCAGATCACCACTTGTCATGTAGCTGCGATATTTGCTTAGGGCTGTAAAGATGTTTTAAATCTGTTGTTCTTTGGCCATTTTTGTTTCCCCGTTTGCTTGCCATGAGTCTAACATCAGCCTGGAGGCCAAACATCTCAGCTGTGGTTTTCAAATTATTTGAATAAATAAAATGAATATTTTTCTTTTCAAACTGGAAATATTCGAAGTGCTTATGCCATTTTCTAAGAACACCTGGGCACCACAGTGCTACAGGTTTGCTTTTCAAAGAAAATTACTTTCAGGCTCTCGCTGTGGTCCCTGCGTTGCAGGTTGCATAAGGTACCTCGTGCTCAAATTGGAAGGACTGGTTGCCATTTGAGCCTATCACTGAGGAAACATTTTACCTATTTAGAAATAGGATGTAGAATTTTTAATGTTTTCTAGGTGTTTTTGAATCATTAGAGATCAATAAAAAGCAAAGAACAATTGATGTGAAAAGCGGAGTAGATCCTTACTTTTTCTTACCAGTAAAGAAAAGGTTTAACTAATGGTTGGTGCCCTTCTGTGTTAGCGGTGTTTTTTTTTGTTTTTAGCTGCAGCTGAATATCTTCCACTCTTTCTTTCCTTTCAGGTAAGGTAGGCACATCCTCCAATGTTAATATTTCAAAAGCCTTCATTGAAATACAGAAATACTGTTAAATTTTGTTTTAAGATGGGAGAATTGAAACAGCAGGGACAATAGACATAAAGTCATGTAGCCACCTGGAGCAGACACAAGTTGCAGGCTGTGATGCCACATACAGTCTGAAGAGCCTTTGTTTTTTTTGGCGAGTTCATTTTCCCATTGGTAAGTTTTCTCAGCACGGACAGCAGTGCTGGAGAAGGGAGGCAGTGATGATACACAACCTATAGCAGGGTGAGAATAAGGCAAACATCTTCAATATCTTGCACACATGCCAGTTTGTGGTGACGATAGGATAGTGCACTTAGAGGCCATCCTGACAAGCCAATCTGTGCTGGTAGTAAGAGCAGAAGTAAAATAATGACTATACCAATAGTTTCTGGAAACTGAGCAGTACTGTAATCCCTGCTCAGTTGTATCCTGGTTCTTTTACGCTTATCAAAAGCTACTGGAATCTTTTGGCTCTGATATTGATACCGTTATTTAAAGCTGTTGCATTAATGTGCATTTTTCTCTAAATGCAGTCTTCTAAGTGCTCTCCAAGTGCAGAATCTTCTTTTCCAGCAGACTTTTCTTGTCTTGCGTCTGGCAGATAGATAACTTGATGTTATTTCCTAATGCAAAAGGCAGTCTGACTCCATTTAGTTTATTTCCTTTTTGTCTAATGACATCATTAATTATGCTGCGTGGGTTGTCTCTCTGCTGTGGCTGTGATCAGAGGAAAGGAAAAAACACAGCAGTCAGTCCTTGGGTGCTGTAGGAAAAGGATTGAGATGTTTGATTTCTTTTCTTTGATGGGTTGCTTGAGCATAGAAAACAGTCACAATTCGTGTTGATTCTAAATAACAATTTCACTTGTTCCAGATATTCCAAACCTGTCACTAGGAGCTTTCACTGCACGGTAATGTAAGGGAAAATAAACTGCAGTGCTGCTCGCTGACGTTCTGCTTTGGGAAGAGTTTGTGATAGCAGCTAATCCAGAGATTTTGTAACTCAGCTTGAAGAAAATTCAAGCACCCTCTATGAATTCTAAATATTTAATGCTTAAACATTATTTTCTGTTTGGGTTCTCATTAGTATTTCCAGTTGCCAGCGAAGATGAGAGTTACCAAAATGCCTGCTGTGGCAAAAAGTTAAGAAATGAAGAACTCTACTACTGGTAGTGCCAAATTTTAATCTAATTTCATCTAGTGATGTAATACTACAAATATGCTATAAGGAGACTTGAGCGTACTTCCTAGCTAAGAGAGTGACAGTCTTCAGTTCTTTTATTGTCAGTCCTCAGTTATCTAATTGGAATATTTGTGGTATGTGTATGTACATAGTGTGCATGTAGTCATAAAATCTCTTGAGTCTTGATGGTTTAAAATCTTACAGTGTACATGTAAGTTGTGATGTAGGCACACGTGTTTATAAGGTTTGATACAAAAAGAATCTGATTGGTATTTGCATGTGAGGCGTTTTTGGGAGTGGGTGAGTTTCTGATGAGATGAAGGGCAAAAGCAGGTAAACATATTGTAATCTGGTATTTGTTCAACAGAAGACTGTCATTTCCTTAACTGAGAGTAATTTAATCATGTTTGTATCTGGAGTAGTTAAATAAGATTATTTGCCATAATTACTTCATGTCTAACAAGGACTGTTGCCATTTGGATTTTGTGTTATGATTTGAATCCTAAAAAAAAAGGAGCTTAACCACTGGATGTTGAAAATAATCAATATATTTCATTGTTGAGGTTTGAACAGAGGCTGTGTTTCAAATGTGTGTTTAAAAATATCCTGTGAATCTGAACCTTTGCTTGTGATCCTGTTGCTACAGTGTGCTAGGTGTGTATATGACACAAAACCCCATCTTTGGCCATGCCAAGTGACTGCATTTGTTGTGTATTGCTGTTGTGACAGAACCATTTAAATATGGTAATAATTATTTTTGTTGTTCCATTTTACTGAGCTAGAAGGAAAAGCTGTTCTGTAATTAAGGAGCTATTTCCAAGAAAGTGGGGAGCATTATAACTGTTATTACAGGAGCATTGCAAAGGAGGTGAATGTTTGTGGTTGATACTTAGTGCTGTACAAGAGTGAGAGTAATCTCTGTCCAGGGAAGTTTCTTGCTAGGGAAAATCTAATTGCTCAAAAGAAGCAGAGGTTTTGTGTGAGTAACTTTTGACGTTTGCTGGTTGTCAGGCAGAGGCTACAGGGTAAGGCGCTGCTGCTAGAGGGATTGACAGCCATATGAAAGACAGAAACATGTTTGCATCTTCAGTAGCAAGTAATTTTTATCAACAGGGTAACATCTTTGTTTTAACATAGCCAAGGAGAGACCTAAAATTGACTTAAATACTTCATATTCACTTAATAGTGAACCCGTACGTTTGTGATACTCTGTGTTAAATAACTGATTCTGACTGTGTATTTATTTGTATATCCTACTGATGGAAAGTATTTACTGTTAAGGATGTCAGTAGTGTTGGACTTACCTGCATCTCTGCTCTGAAGCAACCAGGTGAAGGGGTACTGCTAAAATTCTGATGTTGTCTGAAATGAGCACCAGGATACACATCTTGGTAATGAGTTGTATATCACTTTGGCTTTTCTTCGGCTTTTTTTGCCTGGAAGATAGTCATGCCTTTTGAATCACAAATCATTTACATGAAGAATTTTGGTCTGTTACTGAAATAATTGTACTCAGACTTGAGTTCAGCAATTAAGCTGTAGAGCCAAATCTTACCACATATTATACGATAACAAGTTCCATTTGATTGTCTTTCTTTCTTTAGAAGGATAGTTTCTGTCCATAGCCATTCCTTCAATTACCTTACTATTTTATAACATAGAATTGTAATAAATTAGGTTTGGGATTTTCCCCTCCTCTGAAAATGATCCCAGCTAAAAAAAAAATACCCTAATGTTTAATGTAAACTTGATTAGGTTTATTCAGTTTTCTGTGATGAGGTGTGTTTGCAAATGCTAAAAGACTGTACGTTTTGCTCTATTCCAGTGCCTGATGACCTCTCCATAGAAGAAAGAGAAGAGCTTTTAAATATTCGCCGCAGGAAAAAAGAACTGATTGATGATATTGAGGTAATTAATTTATCTGTAAAGATCCTTAGAAGACTGCTCCAGCAGGTTAAGTTACGGTAAACTGCATATCTAGGTGTGAATTCCGGGTAATGTTTTTAAAACTGTATAAATGGCTTACGCTAAATCTTACTGGTAATGAATAGGATTTATGCGTCATTTCTGTGCTTTTGAAAATGGTAAGTTCTGTCTTTATGTAATGCAGTATGTACATATGTACACATTTGATTTGTGTAATCAAGAACTCATTAAACATCAGCTCTGCGAACAGGATAGGAGTGAGAAATCTGGGTGAAGAAATCTTATACTGAAATTGCTAATAGCAATTTGGTCTTGATGCTCTGAGGTGCACACACTGGGAGTACAGATCCACGTGTTTAACAGTCATTCAGTTGTGGTAAAACCTTCAAGCTAAATATCTAAGGAAGACATAAGATTAATCGCTTTTCTTCAGGTGACGAGCAAATATTAGAAAATAAAACCTAACTGATTGTATTAATATATGACAGATGATTTTAAAAAGCATTTTAATGTAGGTTAACATATTGTCCTTCCTTCTTTTGACAGAGATTAAAATTTGAAATTGCTGAGGTTATGACAGAAATTGATAATCTGACTAGTGTAGAAGAAAGGTAAGTAATGCTAACATATGGACATAGTTCAGGAAGACCTTGGAACAGGTCTTCCAGGAGTAGCAAATAAAAATAGCTTTATCCTGCTTAACAAACATTGGATCACCTTTATTCAGTCTGTTATCAAGTCTCTAAAGCCTGACTTTATCTTTTTCAGGTGTGTCGTTTGTTTGGATAGGGAATATGTTGGATAGAATGTCATATTTTACACTGTCCAGTATAGTTCTCTGAAACTGCAATCACTTAAAGAATTGAAATTAGTAACATGATTTTCCACCTTATAAAAAGGGAATGTCTAGGTTTTGTAATGGAAAATAGCCAAAATACAAATTAAAAGAAGCTTAGCCAGAAGTTGGTGTTTTTTTTTGTAAAAGAGCAGCTGATAACTGCTTGTTGTTTCTTCTTTTTCTCCACATGTAGCAAAACTACACAAAGAAATAAGCAAATAGCCATGGGAAGAAAGAAATTCAACATGGACCCTAAGAAGGTAAGTAATTTTTTCTCCACTTGTCAGGAATTGAGTGCCTGCTTGTGGTATGATCTATGACAAATACAGTTGTGTTTTCTGAAGAAAAACTTTTTTGGTAATAGAAGTTCACAGGCCTTATTTGTATATCCTGTAACACTCTGAGCAGAGGCTTAAATTAGAGGCTGTTGTCTAGTCATTTGCCAGTCATGTGTGCTTTTTTCACTTAAGCAAACCTTTTTTGATAATGGAGGTTATTTATCAAGAATCAAATTTGCCAGGTATTGATTGAGCTGGCTTGCAGAAAGATTATTTATACCTGATAGAGGTGTTCTATGTTGTTATGTCAAATATAATTCTAAAAATATTTTCATGCTTGGTTATTAGTGAGGCCATACATTTTTTTTATGTCCTCCTATTTTTGTTTCTTCCAAAATAACTTCAAAGTGTTTTTTTCATTTGTTCTCGTACACACTTTTATATTTGCATATCTAAAGTCTCTTTGTGAAAAAGGCACGTATGAACATTTGTATGTTTGTATACATATATATGTGTACCTGTATGGCTTGTACAAACACCTGCAGGTAGAAACTTGGCTACCAATTTCAAGAAGTCTCCTGTGCATTTAGCCGAAAAGTAAAGTAGTTGGTGCCTCTACTTTTTTTAAATAATTGTTAATTTTCTAGAAATTTCAGGGACTTGCACATGCTCCTACAGACCTCAGCTGATGTATTTCAAAGAGCTGCTTTGACGTATTTGACCTTTAGCCTTTACTTTTCATTTTACATCTTCCTGCCTTTGTTATACTGCCTTCAGTTGTTTGTAACTGAGATTCTGTTTCGAATTTGTGAAGAGTCTTCTTGAAGGTCTTTTTGGAAACTATTTAGCATTTGTTTTTCTGTGTTAGTTCTTGACATGTTTTCTTTCCAACTGTATTGAATTCGGTTACATTTTGGTGGCTTTCCTGTAATGTTCCAAGTACAGTGATGGCTGTATTCTTCAGGCTGTTTTCAGTTTATCAGAAACACTGGAGTACTTTGAGATACAGAGCCCCTTTTAAGCTACTGATCATGTCTTTGATTTTTATTTTCCGTGTTGATGACTGTCTAACTTCAGTTCTGTTGAGGGCAGAATACCCCCTAACGTCCTGATGACTTGTTGTCCTCCAGCTCTTTCACATCGTGGAAGTTTGTGGCAAAGTCACAGGACGATGTCAGATGGTTTCATTCCAATCTTAACTATTTTATGTTACTGTTCTTGTTGGGTGAAATTATTTCTATAAATAGATGCCGTAGCTGCATTGCTACTGTAACATAATTTCAATGTGGTAAACAGATTTACCGTAGTCATTTCTTAATAATGTCTATGAATCAGTGGTGGCCTGCAGTAGCTGGCTGCTCTAAAGCTAGATCATCTTGTTGTTTGCAGCTGCTACTTTAAATTACGGGCACCTAAAATGTACGTCCTTCTAATGTTGAGAGAATTAACGTGGGGTCATTGCAAAAAGGATGTTTTTCATTCATAAGTGGGAGGGAAGATGGTCTTCAGAGTTAGGAATGTGAAAGAACTGGGGTAATAATACATGCGCTGAATCCTCCTGAATTTTCTTCTTTAAAATGAAGTATGAGTTCTGATGTTTTCATATTAACAGGAACACAGTGAGGTAATTTTGTTTTACCATTTTTATTTGAAGACCTTTACAGTTTCTACTGTCTAACCTATATGTAGAGTAATTGTCCCTGCCCCTACTCAGAAAACCCTCATTCAACATATCTGTGTTTAACACAGTTACGTGATGTAACATCATGCACCTTGCTGTTTGGATTTGGTTAGCTAGTGTGGGAAGGGCTATAACAATAAAGTTTGTAAAACACATCAAGAATCCCTGTGCAGAGGATGTAAAGCTGAGCTTGAAATCCGCAGCACTGGAAGTCAGCACTGCCTGTGCTGGGCCCAGAAAATGAATTCTCTGTGACAAAGGCAGGGTTTAAATAACTGCAAAATTTGTGGTTAAGTTACTGTAAAAGCTATGAAATTCAAAGCAGATTTCATTGTACTAACTTTAAAAAAAAATCTGTACAATATTTGTTGTGAATATTGAATATTTCTGTAGCCATGAATTTTGTGTAGGGAGGTCAAACTAGTACAGCTGTCTCCCATCTCCTGTCAGTCTACAGAAAGAAAATTTACATCAAGACAAAAAGATAGCGTAGGAGTTGGTGGGGGTTTGGCTGACCTATTTTACCACTTATTCCAGACGCTGGAGTTGTTGTCCCAGACAAATTCCTTTTCCTGTCTATTTGACTTCTGGTTCTTTAACAGTTTAAGAATTAAAAAAAAAAAGAAACAGGAAAAAAATTCCAGAAAAAGGAAAATTAAATTAATTTTTGTAGTATGTTAAAGTATCTGCTTCTGTGCACAGAAATTTGGTTTTTATGCTTCTAGTCACGTCCATTATCTTTTTCAGTAACTTGTACACTTTTTTAAAAACTATTCTGTTCAGTCTGTTTACGCATGAGTAATATGGTCCAGGTGTTGAACAAGGGAATCTGCAACTGCTCTGTCTGTTGTTTGTTAGAAGGATGGTTCTCTGTTGGGTAACAGAGCTGAGAAAGCTTTTTGAGTAACTGGGTATGGGGAAAAATAATTATGTTTTGTAGTCAAATGAATTTTTTGTACAAATATTTAGTTATCAAGCTTTGAAGGGATAATTTCTGAGAAAAGCTCAGCTATTTCTGCTTCAAGATAAAATAGATATATTCTTTTCAATGAAATCACATCTGTTCTGAAATTACTTAGAAAAATATTAAATTGCCAGAGTCAGAATAACAGCCTTTCATGGAAATAAAGTTTTCAGATGATGATAAAATTGTTTTGAGAGAATTGCGTTCCAGACTTTTTTTTTAAAAGCTTTGAGCTTTTGAACATGACGTCAGGCAGGTAATAATTACATTATAAAAAACTCAGAATCAACCAAACAGAAGGATAATTACTTTTTTGAATGTTACTGCAGAGCCTTCTATGCTATATCAAAAAACAATGGACATTTTCTCAGTTGTAATGAAATAAAAAAGAAATATATTCCATTTGCAGAAATTGAGAAACTTGTAATATTTCTGAAATTAGGAAATATTCTAGTAGAAGATATTTGGAATAATTTATTAAGCTCTTCTGTACATATTTGGAATCAAAGACATTAAGGCTACTTACAGCTGCTGCTTCCGCTTTTCACTAGTAGGCTGTTAACAGTTTTATGAAATCAGCAGGACTAGCAACATCTTTATTGGGGTGTGTGGTGGGGAAAAGAAGAGCACTATCTCTTCACAACCAGCTGAGTGTTGAAATAATGCCCTTCCATCCTTTATGTAATCTCTATGTAACTTTTAGTGTCATTTCTTTACTGCTTTACAGAAAGTTCTCTGGGCATCCCTAGAGTGTGCCACTAATAGGGGCAGTAATTTATGGAGGCACAGGAGCCCAGGGACTTGATCAAGTACCCACTGAGGGACAGGGTAAGACTCTTCTGGCTTTGACAGAAGCTCCATGGTAGAAGCTTGTCTGGTTAATGAACAGTCCTTTGTGAATAGTCCAGTTCAACTCCTCTGTGAGTAGTTTAGTTCCAGCACAACCAGAAGGCACTGATAATCCCAGTGTCAGCGTAAACTCTCTTAAACCAGTTTTAGTATCTTCAGCCGCGACTTCTACTGCAAGTAGTGGCTTGATGTATTGGGTTGCAGTTTGTAGATGCTTACAGATGCTTTATTTTGTGTCCTGGTGATACTTAAGTTATTCCTACGTACCTCTTCATTATATGAATTTACAGATTATGTCTCTGCAGACATTTATGCAATATTGTGAACAGGCTAACTCACATGTTAACTCCAAAGAGCAACATGGAATCATTATTCAATGAATATTTGGTATTTCTATTGTTGAGGGATTCAAACTGCCACCTAGTACTTCTAGCCTTAAAAATGTGTTCTCACTTTGATCTTTAAACCAGTACTAAACATTGCTTGTCTAACCAAAAAACATTTATTTACCATTTAATTAAAAAAAAAATCCATAGGCTAATGTAATTCTTAATGTGCTACGTATATGCTTGTTTCAGTGCATTAATACCAAATGTTATGAGCGATATTTACATAAACTGTGGTGGAAAAAAGCATAACATTCCTTTTCCTCTGGAATTGCTCTTCCTAGGGAATACAGTTTCTGATAGAAAATGACCTCCTGCAGAACACTGCAGAAGACATTGCACAGTTCCTTTATAAAGGAGAAGGATTAAATAAAACGGTAATTGGAGATTACCTCGGTGAAAGGTAAAATAAAAATACTGAAACTTTGTTCTTGAGTTTACAAAGCATACTTACAGTTTTTGGTAGTTACCTTCTCCTTCACAGGCTGTGTGAGAGCTACTCTACTACTGGCCTACAAAAACTACAGTGGGAAGTAAAACTACTATGGTATTGTGATACGGTTTTTTTCTGTTTGTTCTTTTTAGATGCGCACATTGTGGAATAATATTTAATTGATTGTAACTTACTATTTTGAGAAAATACCCTTAAATTTGGTTATATGCAGAATTTAATACCATAAGCTTTTAGAATGCCTGAGAGTTGTATTGTAACAGTTCTGGTAACTCTTGATACTGTGCCTGGACAAGGAGTGATTTACCGTAACTAACAAATGGATAGTAATGAAATTACTTATTAAAATGAATAGTTCCTGGGACAATAGTTATAAGCAGATTTCAGTGTTGTCTTCTTCCCTGCACACAGACTTCCCATAAGTAAGCAGGCGTCTCAAAGGGCAGCCGCACTGTATCTTTATCAGTCCTCGTACAATAAGAATGCAGTGCGCATATTTATGCATATTGTTGCAAAACACAATCAAAATGCAAATTACTTCCATTGCTGTGCAACCCAGGAATTGATTTTAAAAAAGGCAGCAGAAGGAGACAGAAACGAAGAGTGGGTTGGAGTACTTGGATCTACGTGCATGCACATGTTCCAGTTCAGATGCCAGTTACGGAGGTTTAAAAGTTGACTCATTTAGGATGTACTCCTGTAATGATATGTTCTGGCAGATCCCTTTTGAGGCATCCGTAATCTGTTTACAGCATCAACGGCTTAGTTTGTGCTCAGCAATTTCCTCCTGACTTTAATAGGTTTAATGAAAGTTTTCACCATAGTATGTATATTTTGAAAATAGATGTTAACTATGAAGTTTCTGTACAGTATATGTAGACATTTCAACAGTTTTTATACAACAGCATTATGTTGTTGCTCTTGAATATTTGGGCAATCAGGATTATAAAATCAATTATATGTTAATGTCTATACTTGCAAAACTGTAACAAAGCTTGTATAAGGCAGTCTGTGTTAATTTTTGAGCTGCATTCTACCTTGGTATGTCTTCTGAAATGCTTCCAGTTTTTCTAGCCCTGTTCCTAGAACCCCCGTACTCATGCAGAAAGGTCTTACCATTATGTTCAGGCCCCCTGGAGTCATCAGTAACATTCGTGTGACTCTTTAAGGGTCCATATTTAAAATTTAAAAAAATTACTGCTCGTTGTTTTGCATGGCTGGCAGGGATGGATATATATATTATCTGATATACAGACAACTATGCAATTCAATTATACCTTCTGAATTTTTCAAGACTTAAATACAGACAAGTGTAGTGGTCGTACTAAGTAGCAAATTTGATCAGGAAATCTTGTATAAATCTGTCAGCTGGATAATAAAATCATAGGAGAAGTAAAAAAAAAATTAACATACTGCTCCTGTTTTGCCACAAGGCAGAAGTAACCTGTCTATTCAAGGAGCAGTTGAAGTAAAAAAGAAATTCAAATGATTTTTTACTTTAAAAGGAGCTTTTATTCAGTGTATCCAGTCAGTCTACTTCAATTGTTTTTTGCATGTTTCTTGATTTCTGCGAAGGGTGTAATATTAATATGGTAATGGGAATGAAAATGGCATTTCTGTCTATTCTTTTTCTTCCCTTGTATGAATTAGTAAGGGGGGATAGAGGGGAATGGATGACAATATGATTTTCAGTAAAGTGTATGGAAATTTCAAGGTAGTCAGGTCTGGAATGGGGAATTGGCTCATTGTACTACTTGGAACTGCAACATTATTGTTCTAGAATCCAAATAATTTTTATTCATGTTCCTCTGAAAACAGTGTATTAGGCCTTTAGGTCCTGGGGTAAAATAAACACCCTGGGATAAAATAAAATGTGACAATTCAGGTGGTTTTAAGATGTTGGTTTTGCTTTCATGACTACCTCAGAGGCTATTAAGTGACTTGTGCTATGCAAATAGCAGTGCATATTGTAGATGAGTTTTTGTTGAGTTATGTGCTATCTTTTATCAAGGCTTTTGGAGTCTGAGGACATTCTCTTTTACTTTGCCACTCTCTCTCGGGGGCCAATCATGAATTACTTCTGCATTCTAGCTAAATATAGCTGACAATGAGACCAGGATAGTCAACAGAGTGAAATATTTGTATAACGGTCTGCCATAAAGAGATATATTTTAAATTATTGAGTTACAGCACTTGGCAAGCTGAAAAAAGTGAATGCTAAAATGGAATGAGATAGCACCTTAAAAAAGTACAATAAATAAGGGATGAATTACATCCTATAAAAGATTTAAGATTTTTTTTATACGTGGGTAAGTCTTCACTTATTTTTTTAAGTGTCTTCCTAGACCTTTTGTGATATTTGGCTTGTGTTGTTGGAGCTGTATGCAGCACAAGTATCACTAATCCAGTCTACGTTAAAACCTAGAAGAGCAAAAATTAGAGTATAAGGCTAATTCTTGTTCTGAATTACTGCAGCTTTACGTACATATAAGCAAAATCAGTATTTGGCGTAGAGTAACAAAGTAGCCCTGCCGAGTGCTCTGTTTTATTGCACTGTGATGCTACCTCATTCCACTGCACTGAACAGCAGTCACGCGGTTCACTTGTGCATTACTAAATTTGATGAGAATTTTGACAGAGCTGATGTGTTTTTCTATAAGCAATATGGGGACTTCCTAATGAATGAATAGTACGTTTTTAGGTATATACTCATGAGGGTTACAGGTTAGTCTGACTCTGCAGTCCGTCAGTAATGCAACAGATGATTCCTGGTGGGTGCACACCTTTCTGTTTTTGGGTGGAGGCTGATATACAGCATTCTGTCTTGGTGATGTATTTAAAACACACCTTTACGCTTCTGGTGTATGAACTCAGTGATGGTGTAGACTAAATTCTGTCTGCATCCACATAGTTTTGTGCTTGTTAATGTTTAAATGTCACTTTTGCATTTAAACACCTTTTGTATCAAACAAAGCATAATTTGGCTCATGATTTACATAGCAATATAAAAGATAGACGGGAGGAAGCCCGTTCAAAACCTATTCTGATTTTAGTAAACTTCCTTTGTAATGACTTTTGAGAATGGAATACGAATACACTACATACTAAGTAGCTCTTTTTAAAAAAGCTGTTCTTAAGTACAATCAGTGCAAGCATTTCTGTTCCTCATCTTGGTACAGAAATGAATATACTGCTTTAATATTTTCTGTTCTTGGAGGAAAAAATGGGATAGTTTGTTTTTCCTGTGTTGAATGGCTAAAGAAATTAATCTTACATTAACTGTGGATTTAAGAGTTCATGACATGATTTCTGTGAAAGACATTTTGCTGGATAAATTTATTGGGTGTCATCCCATATCAAGGCAGGTGCACTAATAATAAATGTGAAGCAAAGAAGGCCAGGCCATTTTCGGGTCATTTAAATAAACAGAGCTAAAATCAGTACAAGTGTAATGGCTCTTTCTAACCTATCAGCAAAAATGGGCAAAATACTAGTGTTAAATATCAAAATAACTCTCAAATAAATGTGTAAACTATTTCTGATGACTTGATTTGGTCAGTATGATCATTTATAATCCTTGATTATTCTCAAAAGCAAATAGAGATAACTAACAAGTCTTTAAAGTTCAGAATTGTAATTGTCTATTTCCATTTTTGTCTTTCATAGAGATGAATTTAATATTAAAGTTCTTCAGGCTTTTGTTGAACTCCATGAGTTCGCTGATCTCAATCTTGTGCAGGCCTTAAGGTGAGTAAATGCTTTCTTTTTTTTCTTTGTTTTTTTTTTTTGACCTGAGTTTCCTTTGTTGAATTGCACGTTCATACGAGTCATGGTGCTCATTTATTCGTCAGAAAGCTGATCTGTACAGCTCAGCATGATTATACGTGTTACTGTGCGAGTTAACAGAGACAGCTCTGGTTTAACCCTTCCAATTGCTTGTGTGTCTGCTGCCTTTGAAGGTGAAAACCTTCTGAATTATTTCAGACAAATAATAAACAACTAAAACGTAGTCATAACTCTTTGGTGTGCCTGCCCTGTGTGGACCTTTGAAGATCTGTTTTGTATCTTAGCAGAGAGATAGGTAAAAAACAAACAAATGCCTGACCCAAACAAATAAATAATTTTATTTGCTGTCGTATTCCTTCTCCTCTCCTTCCATCTCAACTTGTTCTTCTGGGAGGGGGGGAGGGGAAATCCCACTGACTGTAATCAGTTACTGTGTTCAATTGCAAAGAGGTAAACTTTGAATCAAGTAATTTCCTTCTACTTTCCTTAGAGTTCCCCACTCGTGTGAACAAAAGGTATAATATCTTAGTATACTTTTTTCCTTTGCTGAGTGAACAATTGACTTGATTTCTCTGGGATGCCAGCATACAGTGACCTTGTGAAGCCCCTTCTTGTCTTGGTGGAAATCCATAACACATCTAGCTAATTGAGTTCATATAGACAGTTCTGCCAGTTTCATTGCCACAAGTGACTCCCTCCTGATGCCAGATAAATTGAAATGTCCATGTGATCTCTGTCTCTGGTGCAGTGCCTTGTGATGTGGATTCAGAACAGCTTTGCTGCGGTTGAGTGATGTGGTGATGATAACTTGAGCTGCCTGAGGCTTGAGCTAAGGAAGCCTTTCCTCTGGCTGCTGGAGCTTGTGTTGGAGGCTTTATATTCCTATCTCTTTCACCCAATTTAATGTTAGGTTTGACTTTATTCTTCTTTAGCAGCTGCTACTATTAAATGTTTGTATTTTGGTAGCTTACAAAATTCGTGATCTGGGTTGGAACCTTGCACGAGGTGAGTAAAAGACAGTATACAGAGCTGAAAAACGAAAGATGGCCTGCAACACTTTAATATAATGTTCTAAGATGAAAACTGATGAAGACAGGAATATGTGGTTATTATGTTGGCACCCAGTGTACAGGGAATATCGAGAACTTGTTTTGCATGGCAGAGCATGTAACTTTGCTGGTTTAGATCCTGTTTTAATTTAGATAATTCTTTTGCTAAGAAAGAAAAGAATAAGTGATTAAATTCATTGGAGCTTTTTTGCACCACAGTGTGCCAAAAGTACATTTGTGAAGACTTCTGTCCTGTATGCATTCCAGTGTACCTATATGTAGAAACAGTAAGTTATGAATTTGAAAACTCTATTTCAGTTCATGCTGCTGAACAGGAGCACAGACCTCCTGCATACGTTACAGAATTACTGAGGTGATATCATAAGTCTTTAAGATCTGGACCTGATTCTTGTAGGGTGAACTTACACTAAACAGGCAGCACCTCTCTAAGCACTGGGGTTTTTCTTGTTGTTGTTTCTATTTTTTAAATGTTTTCGATGAGTTCAAGTAAAGATGTTAAGTATTTTTGTATTCCTTGCTTCACTTCCTTTCCAGAAATATTTTATGTAATGTGTCTTTTCACATTGTAAGTAAAGTCAGTGGTTATTGCTTTTAGTAGCCAGGAAACACAGGGATGATTGAACTGATTGTTTCCCCATAGCATTCTCATGGCAAGAATGGGATGCATACAGAAAATTGTCTACTAGTCTGGAAAAAGGAGAGAGTCTTAGAATATGAACTGCCATATTATCTTGCCTGATAGCATGCAGTGTTGCTGGCTGAATTACTGGGCTAGCCATCTGTGCATGTTGCTTTATAACAGCTCCTGACTTGTGTGGTGAGAGATTGAGAACATATTTCTAGGACATTTTATGTAGACATTGCTGATTTTATTTTGGTCTGTTTCTGATTATTAGCAATATATGCTTAATATATAAATACTGGGATGTGTCTAACAACTATTCTTCCCTTCTGTAGGCAGTTTCTGTGGAGCTTCAGACTCCCAGGAGAAGCTCAAAAAATTGATCGTATGATGGAAGCTTTTGCTTCACGCTATTGCCTTTGTAATCCAGGAGTCTTCCAGTCTACAGGTTAGTTGCAGGAAACAATAGCAGTTCTTAAGTGTGTGTGTATTTTTTGGATCATATATGTACTTCTACATCTGATGCAAGGAGACAATGGCTAGTTTTGAAGTTCAGGCTTAAACAATATATGAAATGAGAATTTTCTGAGAACTGAGAAAATGTAACTGTCTAATCCTACATTTTGTTTCTAGAAGGTGCAAGTTTATGGTCAGAATGCATTTCCATTTGTCAGACTTCAGCATTGATATGTATCTAAGCCAAATAAAGTATAAAACACACTTTAGAAATGTCACCAAAGATTTTGGCTAGTAATTGGAAAAGTAAGGTTCTCAGGGGCTTAAAGGCAGAAAAGACCAATAGGTTGGATAGTCTCATCTGTCAGTTATAAGGACTTTACACCTGGTTATCTCTGTATCAAGTCCACCTATATGTGGCTGTCATATATTATCTAGAAAGTAATCTGCTTTTGTTATGAGGACGTATCCTTTAGCAGTCTGCTCAACAGTAATCATAACCCTGTCAAGAAGCATGATGATATCTCCTTTGTCATTTTTTGATATTATTCAGTGGTGCTAGTCACCTCATGCATGCCAAGAAATTGAGTCAATGTCATTTTCAGTCTGTTTAAATGCAGTTCAAATATTATTTTGAAGGGATTGTTCCTTCTCTGTGGAGAAAGCTTTGGAAGTACTTTACGTATGAGTCTGAACAAGTTTATTACAGGATCTACCAATATGATCTAGGTAAAATCTGTGCGCAGGGAGTGTTTTGCCCAGCAACTCTTCGGTGAAATGTTCCTTTAGGGTGATAGCAATGATTTCAAAGAGTTTAAAAAAAATCTGGATTCCCTTGTACTTTTTTTCTCATACTGGCTTTTAATTTGAATTGTTGAAAGATTTTTTCTTCTTAGGCTTACTTCAACGGTTTAAAGAAAGTCTTGAGACTTTGCTTTCATGTATAATGTTCCGGATTTTTTGACTACCTGTTTCTTTTTCTTTTATCAGTCAGGATGAGCTATACATTCATTTTACAGGCCCATGCCACAACACAGAGAAAGATAAATAATTTTTCAAATCTTATTTCAGATACATGCTATGTGCTTTCGTTTGCAATCATTATGTTAAATACCAGTCTGCACAACCACAATGTAAGAGATAAACCAACAGTAGAGAGGTTTATTTCTATGAATCGTGGAATTAATGAAGGTGGAGACCTTCCAGAAGAATTACTACGGGTAAGTTAGACTGGGTAAGACAAGGCATTGCTTTGTGTTTTTAGTAGGAGACTTAGAAGTGTGTACAAAAGTTCTCAGGCAAATTTGTCACGGGAAAGTAAGAAGAACATTTTCTAGCATGCATAACCACGTGAGTAGCTGTAAGAAGCATTTTCTGATATTCAGAGCTGCTTTGAGCTACTTCTCCTTATATTCAGTCTTCTGTTGAGGAGAGAAGATTCCAGAGAAAACATTCTGTATATGTCTCAGTAGTTTGCTGATGGCAAAATTCTTGTGGAATCAGCTTCTTATGAAAAAAGAGTAGTATTTATGGAGAAGTCAGAGAAGGCTGGAAAAAATCATAAAAATCACAGTTTTGTTATTGCCTCTCATTTATTTCCACGAGTCTTGGAGAGCTTCCTCCTGTCCCTTGAGATATCAGCAAAAATACTTATTTCTCTAAGATAATGTGATGTTCTAAACCATTTTCTGAAAACCCAGATTCATTTGGCAAAACTTGTACTAAATGAGACCTGAAGCTGAAAACTTGGAAATGCTGAATGCTGAAGTTAAAGAAAAAATGTCTTTGCTAGGAGTGCTCATAAAATCTGTAAAAAAAGGCACTTGTTTGTAGATGAAGTAGTTTAAAATAAAGCTTAATCAAAGGAGTAAATAAATATTGAGAGGGGATGGTCCAGAATTTTATGGACATTATTTCCTATGCTTTTTATACAAATAGTCTGAGAAATCAGTAAGATGTCCTGGTTGCATTTTCCGTTAGACATTAATTAATGAGGTCTTTTTCCTCTTTTTTATTCTTCTAGAATTTATATGAAAGTATTAAGAATGAGCCGTTTAAAATTCCAGAGGATGATGGAAATGATCTAACGCATACATTTTTTAATCCAGATAGAGAAGGTTGGCTGCTGAAATTAGGTTAGTTATAAGGGCAGTTTTGCTGCTATATGTTTGCTTGTTGTTAGCATGTTTGCTGCTTCTGTGTCTATCTGCTTTCTTGTGAAGGTAATAGGATTAACTTTGTAATTTGTATTTAAAAAATGTATGAACCAAAATAAGTAACTCCTTTACATCTGAAGGTTGTTACTTCTTATTTTACGTATCCAAACTAGCAATCTTGTTTTGACCTTCAGAGTTTTATTTCTGATAGATGAGAAATAAAAACTCGGCAACAAAAAGGAAACGCTGTATGATATTTACCACATGCTGTGACTGATAAGTAACAACTAAGTCTCCATAAGGGCATTTCAGAAAGCTGTCTGATGTTTCAACTCAGTTTTTTGTGTACAAAAGAAAAAAGGATTTCTCTTCAAATAGTTATTTTTGTATGTCTTTATTTTTCCATATTATTTGTGAGTTTCTCTTGGTTTGGTTTTGGCTATGATTTTTTAATGAGTGGTTTAAATGTGCCTTCTTGTTTTCCTTATGGCCTATGACCTATCACCTTTCTGTTCTGTGACTGGCTGTCTCTGCTTATTCTGCATTAGGAGGTACGTATCTGATTTCTTTCCAGTCCCCTCTTCTTCAGTTGCTCATTCTTTTATTTTCTTCTTCCTTCCTCCTGTTCTTTTTTTTTATTTTATTTTTCTCTTTTTTTAAATCAAATTTATTGGTAGCATTTTGCTTTTTCACTCAGTGTCACTAACGGTATCATCAGTGGTACTCTGAAAGACTGGCATGTCGGTGTCTAGCTCACATGCAAGTGTCTTATGCAAAAGAAGTGTTTACATGTAAAGCAGAAAAACAAAGATGACTATTCAGCATACTTTTCTTGTTCATTGAAGAACATAACAAGGGAAGAATAATTTCTGCTGAGAGGAAACAACATGTCTTACTCTTGTAATGAAGTTCCAGAGTGATTTTGTTACTTGTACACCAATTATATTAGATTATTGAAAGATTGATTACATTTGAACTATGCATTTATAAAAGCTGTTCTTTTTCTTGCTTATTTTCCTTTATAAATAAAATATTTAGCTTACTTAACAGAATCTTAAATGAGCACAGAATTTAGGGTTGCGGAAACCTCTCGTGATTCGCAGTCTCCTTGCGCTGCAAGATGGCCTTGTTTACAGACTCTTTTAAAGTTGATGGGATTCCCTTTCTCACTTGGGCTTAGAGATTTTTTTCCCTGTATAAAGGAGACTGAAATTTTATTTTAAAATTTGTTTTTCAGTGAAATAAGCCTCTTTATATAAACACCACTACACACTCCACTAGAGCCACTTTATAACTGCTTGCTGAAGGAACTTGCATTTGGAGAATGGGGACTAAAGTGGGAAAAGGAATGTATGCTGGAGGGTGAGTGTAGTGAAAGCAGAGCCTGGTTAGAGCCATTGGCCTGCTCTGCTGATTGCACCTGGAAATTAGTGGTCATGCTAGTGCTGGAAGGAAATAGATGTGAAAAGGAAGCGTTTGGAGTTCATTCACATGCTCTCCAATGCCTTATTTTGACCTCTGCGCTACAGATGCTATAGAACTCTTTGTCTTTCTAACTACAAAAAAAGCAAAGCTCTTGCTTTGTGATGTGTGTTGGCTCAGCTGGCACAATTTCAAAGATGACCTTGCAGCTTTTCTCCATTTTGTAGCATGAGCTGATAGCTGTTTCAACAGAACAGGCTTTCAAGTTGATGTAGATAAAATGTGCTGTCTGGAGAAGAGGCTAGGTATAAGCCCATGCTGTCCGTACTTCCCTTTCTGTTGTCAGGGCGCTCTCATGTTTATATACTTACTGAGACTGCAAGCAAGAGTGTGAGTGCATGTAGAGGAGTGACAACATCCCTTGGGGGAGAAGCGGTCAATAAAAGACATATAAAAGATCTAATAAAAAATAGAGGAACAAAGAAAATGAAGAAAAAAGGTGACTGAAAGTCAGTGAGAGCTACCAGGTACTTCTGCACATCTGTCTCTGGCTCTGGTGCAAGGCCAATGAAACCAATTTCTCGTTATCTATGATGGAGATGAGAGTGCACAGAAAATGCAGTAGTAAAAGCGTGTGTGAAGCGGAAGAGTGTTGCACGTAACACTCCCACGGTGTGAGGGTGATTTTGTATAAAGAAGTGAAACACATCCAGAAGCCTCCAGTGAATCCACCTGTAAATGCGTGAAGCTGTGTCTCCATGAAAGACTACGTTTTTGTCAGCAGACACAGACTGGTACAGACAAACACATTTTGCTAGTTCAGATGCATTGACCAGAAATAAACCTGGCAATCTTCTTTTTGTCTTTCTCTCTCTCCTTTCTCTCTCTCCTCTCCCTTGAGTTTCCTGTTTGGTAGGAGGCTTAAACTGTATGTTGACAGTGCTGACGCAATCTGCGTTGTTTGCATTTTTACAATTTTTTCTGCTGGGGAACACTTCTGATGAAATGAGTAGGGTTTCCTTCAGTTCTGGAAGATACTGAAATTAAAAGTTTCAGTATTGTTTAAATGCTAATGAGACTATATTACTGCATGAGAGTTTAAGTGCTCGTTGTGATAATACTTAAAAGTTGAAAGAGAAAGTTTTGTATAAAATATAAATATGACTAAGACAATTCGCAAACCCTGAGTATATCAAGATGGTATTTTCTATTTGGTATTTCTTACGGTGAACTTCTCCCATCTCATATTCCAGCTCACTGTATTGATTATCCTCTGGGCAGGAGATGGATATTGTGAAACTTTCATATTTTGTAGAATGCATCTGTGCTGAAGACCACCCTAGCTCTCTAGCCTGGCACTGGGTTTTAGAAAGCTGGGAGGGCGCAAAATGCTTTTGGAGAGTTTGCTGCTCGGGATTGTTCAGAGGTGACCTTGTCTAATGAGCGCCAAACCTGGCAGCCAGACAGCAATTCTGGTTTTATCTATCTAGATTCAGCTGGTGCCTTTATATAGACATCTTTATCCTGGTAAGCCTAGATTATCATTCAGTTCTACATTGTCTGAAGCATGGTTTCATGAAAATGAATGCGACAAGTGAAAGACTGAAAGCTGCTGAGTGCTAATAAATCCTCACTTGGAGCAGCCTGAGACACTATGAGCTTTTAGATTTTTCTGTGCCGTAATTGTTAGTGGTGTTGGTATCATGAAATTTTCTGCCATCCACTTTAAGGTATTTTGAAATTGTGTTCTCTGTCCCGATGCCCAAGTTACAATCGTTTTGCACAGGGAGGCATTTCCTTGCCTAAAACAGCTTCCCTTGGCAAATAGCTTGGTCTGCGTAATGTTTTCTTCTAGTTGGAGGGAAACTGTGACATTAGTCCACTAAAGTGGAGAGGAAATTATTCGAGCCAGGCACATGATCAGGCTAATTTTTTCTGCCAGTCAGGCAGTTACTGGAAGCTTGGAGATTGTCCAAAAGCTTCGCATCCGGGCCTGTCCCACCAGCGGTGCTTGTTCCAGCACATCTGTCCTTGAGAGGATGTCATTTCTCTTCCCTAATCCAGGGTAAGAGAATAGTGGTGGTTGATCAGGAACAGGGTTGAGGCAGTTAATGTTGCGATTGAGGGAAGCTTCTTTTTTCAAAGAAACCCAAGCTTTGATCCAATCATCTGTGTAACTGTAGAGTTTCTGACTCCGTTCCACATAGTGGTATCTAAATGTACTGAGAAGAAAAAAACACTCTGGATGTGTGTGTCTCTCTCTTTCCCCTGTAAAATTTTACAGAGACATGCTGAAGAATTTTCTAACTTTAGATACATTGCTGCTGCCTTTAGTCTTAAGGCCTTTTTTTAATTTTGAAATTGGTGTTTCCTAAGTCACTGCCAGTTGTTTTTTCCCTTTGGTATAGGTGGTTTCTTTATCTTTGTTCTCTAGCTTGTACTTTGTCCAGAGTTGATAAAAAATAATCCTACGTTGGGTTATGTAGGTGAAGAGGGTTTCTGCTCCTCTTCTGTAGATTTTGTGGTGTTGTGGCCTTTTCCTGTAGTTTCCTTAGCTTTCCACCTACAAGATATCGTGCTTCTTTATTTTGGTATTTGAGATGTCTTTGCATTTTAGTTAATCAGATAGATATTTGAGAAGCGTATAACTTGCATCTCTCATTTCTGTAAATGTTTATGGGTTCGTACTATGATTTTCTTGATCCTCTTCTGCTAACTTAATTCCTTCCAGTTTTAATCTTTAAAAGGCTGGGAGCTGTAATAAGATATGAAGTATGGTACTAAAGCATTTGTTGCTGTTTTGTGAGCCTACAGCAATCTTGGCCAAGGAAAAGAATGTTTTGTTATCAGGAGTTCTTACCCATTAATCTTGCATGCAGTGTTTACGGCTGCAAAGCCTTGTCAGCCAGCTTCTTGGGTTCTAGCCCGTCGTAAAGGCATATTAAATGTATGTTACATGGTGACCCCTGCAAACTTGAGGAGTACAGATTAGATTGCCTTTTGAGCCTTAATTGAGTTTCTGTGGTGTTGACAGCTGCGACTAAGTCAGGGGATGGAGAGACAGAGACTTATGTGTTGAGAATAGTTCCTTATCACGCAAAAAAAATCCTGCCTTGCTGCTCTTTTTCTGGAAGAGAAGAGAAGCTCGTAGCTTGGTGGGGCAGGGACTTAGGCGCTATTTCCATGACTAGCGTGAGTCCTGTAACCCGGTGAGCTAGTGGCTGTTTTAGGGAGAAGGGCAGTAAGAGGGATGCTGTTGGAAAGATTTAATCTGCTTTCTGGCTTCAACATCAGTACTATCCTGGAGCTGGGAAGCGTTTCATGGCGAAAGCTTCATCAAAACAGCAGCATGATTACAAAAGGTTTCAGGTTTGAGAAATCTGACTTTTCCAAAGAGAGGGGATATTATCAGGATAACTATCAGCAAACTCAACTGTCGTATACTGCTTGGTGCTTCATGTTGTTCTAGGAGGTGTGTGTTTTAAGTCCATTGTTTCTGCCTTAAATTATAAGCAGGCCTGCTTTTAAATATATGGTTATTACCTGATTATTTTTTACTGTGTTTTGACATGTGATATCACAGTTTGAGGAAGACCTTTGTTCAGTTTAAGCTGCCTCTGTGAGAGTAACCTGTTTGCCTGTTTGTTTCATCCTCTCTCTTGCTGAATTGGTTTTCTTCTGGAACTGGGCAAGCCGTGACATTTGATGCTGGCTGATGTTTACCTGTTAGCCTGAAAAATGTGGCGAAGTTTTTGTGCCATAAAAATGTTCAATGATGTTAAGCTGTTAACCTTAGAGAGCAGAATGCGACTTAGTCATGGCAATGAGCATTGGGTTATTTGAAAAAATGTCGTGTTAGGCGATAGCAAGGACCGCCCTGGCAGTCATCTTGCCTCAGCGGCTGCTGCTTATTCATTGATCTGGAAGTGAGTCAAGCTGAAGTTCGTCACCTTTCCGTTCCTAGCCCAGATACTTCCTGCTACTTGAACCAGCTCTCAGCCAAGGTGGTGGGAATTTTTCTAGTGACTTACGTGCCAGTTTGAATGTTTCTACAATGCTTTATTTGCGGATCTGTCAGAGTGGTTGTACTGAAATGCCACCGGTTCTTCCTTTACTGTCTCCGGTTCACTCAACCATTCATTCTGTCACGGCTTCTGCATCTTGCACTATTTTGCCTTCTCTTATTTCACCGCACCTGCTTGCAGATTACATTTTCTTAAGAAGTGTGTGTGTGTAGTGGAAACATAAAGTCTGAGTACATTGGACATTGCAATGTGTTAGCACTGGGTTACCATGTAGGTTGTGAAACTGAGCGACAGGAAGATACGATGTGCAACGTACTTGGTCTGCAGTGCAAACACATAGTAGGCTGGTATCGAGAAATTTGATTATATTCCTAGAATTGTTCTTTAACTTAATATGATTTGGATTTCTGTATTAAACAAAAACCCAGCTATCTCAAGCAGAACAAAAAGATTAAAAAATTACGCTCATGTCTTCAATTGGACTTGGAGTGAATTGGGAGTCTTGTGTGTATTAATGGTATTTTTATGCCCAAGTGTTCAACAGCAAGATCAACTCTTTTGAGAAGTTGGGTTAATGAGATTAGATCACTGCTGAATGGATGATGCACAGATGGTGACATAATCCTGAAGTCAGATAACTATGGTGGAACTAAGCCTGTATATTAGTAACGCATGACTGCTTTATCTACAATTGTCTTTCCTGGAAATGACTTTTTAAAATAATGTAATTGTGGAATGCTAGACATGTTCTGAAGTAGCCGATGGCAGAAAACCAGCTGAAGGGCCAAGACAATAGTGTGTGTTTCTAAAAGGAACTGTTCCCTACAGCGTGACATTAGCAGGTGTAAGAAAGAGGAGCTCTGTGGTTGCTGTTGTCCTAACTGTTAATTCAGGGAAAATTGGCATTTTTGGAGCAGTAGCTGTTTCTTCTGTCAGATGTACTCAGTAATATATTAACCCATAAAAAGAACATTTTTTTAAAATATTAAATAATGAAAAGTGACTAAAATTGGTACATTTTGGCATAGGATTTGCTCCTTTTCGATGACACATCATGTTTGTTCTGCTAATAGTGTTTAGAAGCATCTTACACACTTGATGTTATGTCTGAACGTAGAGATAGGTTCTTGATCGCATGTATGCTCAGGAGTGGAGTGAAAGGAAGGTGATAAAATGCCTTAATTTTACTGATGGGACCCTTTGCTTGTACAGGACAAAGGGGAGAGGTTGGTCCTGTTGCTGGAACCCAGTTACTGGCTTTGCTGGTGACTGGCCTCCCTTTGCCGGAGCAGCACTGGCTGCATTTCTGAGGGCTGTGTAGTATTAATATTTTTGATACAGTAGACAACTGTGTGGCTGGTCAGCACCACCATAGTTAATGTTGTCTCAGGAGTTCGGTCTCAGTACAAGAGTGACAGTAACATGTTCGTTTAACCTCAGCTCATCTGTGCCTGATCCATTTATGTTTGAGTAATTAAGCCGCATTTTGAAAACCAAGTAAAACTAAGTGACTTTCTTGTCCGTTGTTGAAGCCTTGACAGCAGCACCTGTTTAATTCAGCTGTACCTTTTGATTGTAGGGGGAAGAGTAAAAACATGGAAACGGAGATGGTTTATTCTGACTGATAATTGCCTGTATTACTTTGAATACACAACAGTGAGTATATATTACAGTGAACTTCATTTGTAATCAAGATATTTGAGTGGCTAATAATGATATTTTCCTATTTTTTTTAGGACAAAGAACCTAGAGGAATTATTCCGTTAGAAAATCTTAGCATAAGAGAAGTTGAAGACCCTAGAAAGCCAGTAAGATATTTTCATATTTTTTTTAAATGAAGTAAACCATATAGAACTTACATGTAGTGTTAAATGAAGATGTTTGTCAGTTTTGTTTTGGTTTTGAAATAGATTTCTTCATTTCTACCCTCCAGAACTGCTTTGAGCTCTATAACCCCAGTCATAAAGGTCAAGTAATTAAAGCATGTAAAACTGAAGCTGATGGTAGAGTGGTGGAAGGTAACCATGTAGTGTATAGAATATCTGCTCCCACTCCAGAAGAAAAGGAAGAGTGGATTAAATCGATCAAGTGAGTTTAAAGTCTTAAATGTCTTTCAGAAATGAAGCATAAGCTCTTTTTGGAGTAAGATAGTAAGAGAATTTGTATTCTAACTTGTTTGAAGAATTCTGATGTGGCAGTGTCCTCTAGGATTAATGACAAGCTGCGTGGCGTTGACGGATCAAGATACAAGTCTCCTATTGCTGTCTGGTCCTAAGGAAATAGTGCTTCTAACTCAAATGGGGGAAATGTGGAGATTTTTTTTAAGCAAATGTAAAGCCTTCTGTGAATCACCTTTAACCCTAATTTTATTAGATTCTTACTTCACCTAATAATTAACTTGTGACATGTATCTTAAGCATGTTCACAGTGCAACTTTAAACTTTCACAGCTTGACTTTATCTTGGAAGGTTTGTAAAGCAGACCCACACTTAAAGAAATAAATAATAGTCAAGGTAAAGGTGTGAACTCTTAACAAATCACAGCTGAATAACATCTTTTTCTAAAGAAATAATCTGTGATGCTCAGAAGTCAACCATCCATTATGTTAGTAAGACTGTGGAGTCGTCCACAGGGAAGAGAGAAGAAAATAGTTTTAGGTTTCAAAAACAGATATTTGTTAACCAAACTGATGATTCCTTTTTTCTTTTCTAGAGCAAGTATCAGCAGGGATCCCTTTTACGATATGCTGGCAACAAGGAAACGAAGAATTGCAAATAAGAAATAGAACATGATCAGCAACTTGTGTACCTGCATCAAGCTATAAATGAGCATACAGTGGAGTGATAATATAAAAGTTGGACAAGCTAAATGAAGACAAGAACTGTAAATTTTTTATATATATACACTTTACTAAGACATAAAAACTTGGCAAGACCTTTCAGGGTAAATAGTTGTTGGCATATGATTTGAAGTGAGCTTCAAATCCCAGAGGATGATTATATTGGAACTTAATTCAGCTGAAAACATGGAAGCCTTGGTTTCACTTGCATTAGTTACAACTCCAGTTGACTTGGGTTGGGAGGGGAGGAATTCGAGGCTAATAGTAAAATGTTCTATACCTGGTATTGGAGTGCATTTCCCATAAAAGGAGGAGTGATTATAAGGTTTTGATCTCTCACAAAAATGCAGCACCAAAAGTGGAGTACAGCGTGATCTAGCACTTCATTTTTCTGTAAGCAGAAACCCCACAATCTCAATGTCAGTTCTCAAGTCTTGCGTGTTTTGCAGTAGATGAACGGCTGAGGGCAGCTTTCATTTAGGATTCGCTCTCCTACCTTTATGGAAATAGCTTTTCTTCTTCAGAAATGCAACTTGGCGGTAGACTGACAGCTACGTAGTTCGCTAGTTGTGCCAGAGGGTTTGGTTGATACGCACTGAAACATGCAGGTCCCCACAGCAACAGGTTGAGTCTGTAGCTGTGACACTAAGTACAGATGTAGTTTGATATTTGCCAGTAGCCTAAAACTCATTCCTGTTTGCTCATATACTCACAATAAGCAGTAAGATTTAATGACTGGTTTAATCTCCTTTTTGTATAGTAACATCCTTCTTATGTTTTAAATGCGTTGTAGTTTAATTAACATGAAGTTACTACGAAAGGAGTAAGATGACAGGGCTTGCAGGAGTTTAGACTTTGCATGTGAAAACGCCCCCAGATAATCTCACATGCCCTTAATGTTTTTAAAGGGAAGAACTAGGAAGGTGGAATCTTTCTGTAAGATGCAGCCCTAGGTAGGTAACAAGCAGGATTCGTTCCTTTGCTTGATAACAGACTTTGGACATACAGAAAAGCTCCGTATTTTTATTGCATTCTTAAAGGCGATTTTTCAGATCTGTGCTTCGGCGGTTGAAATAGAAAAAATGAATAGACATCCTTATTTCTGCTTAAAAAATAAAATCTTACACATCGATCACCTGGTGCAACTAAACTCCCCCGCAAGCATGTGTCTTTTTTTGTAATTTGTGGAAGATCTCTCTCTGGTCCTACTGAGTCTTTCAGTAACATGAAAACTGCTCTGGCAGATTTTATGACGCTTTCTGTTGATAGCGCACACACCGTTCGTAAGGTAAAGCCTCTCATTCCACAATGGGGGCAAAGAGTGGGTTTTTGGACTCTACTGCTTCTGCAGTTTTTCATGACCTTGTTGAACGTGAGCCGTGCCTGCTGTGCCCATGAATGCTTTGGAGACCCGATGCTTTGTCAAAGCAGTTTGGCTTGTTGGAGCTGCAGAAGCCTCCCTGGATACATCACAGGGAAATGAGCTGTGCTGGCAAACCACAGGCTCACACGGTTGATCTGCTTCAAATCTCCTTTTAACTCTAAGGGAAAGTCTGGTTCATTGTTCCTGCCTTACTAATTTGCCTTGTTTTGCATGGGGCGTCAGCCTGTGGAGATTCTGCTTTATTGCATGTTTGCAAAAAAGGCCGAGAGGAGAAGAACAAAGTACACTTTCCAACATCTTGTATTTTCCCCGAAGTGTGGGGAATTGCAGTCTACTTGGATGATGTTCAAATGCGAGTACTTTCAAGGGAGTCAGACTCAACTAAAAGAGGTGGAACCCTTGAGTAAGTATCAATGTGGGGCCATCTTTGCTTGATGGAACACATTTAAACTCTTTATAGCAACACGTTAAGCTGTATGCCCTAGGTTTGCAAAGCAGCATGGTTACAGAGCTGCTAATGTCACTTGTTTTGAGTCTTCTGTTCTACAACGTCAAGTTTTGTTTTCAAGGAATGCATACACCAGTTTTAGCTTTGGACAAGTAGATTTGTAATGCAAATAGTGATAGGCCAGAATCAGTGGTACTAATGAGCGTGAAGGTGAAAAGCAGCAAATGAAGTATTTCTGGAGAAACGTGAGATTACAAATGCATTACTAAGCCATGAAGCACTTTTGTATCAATTCTTATCTTCTGAAATATCACCTTCAAGAAAATGTATTTATTTAACCAGGTGAGGATGTCTGCCTGTAAGCATGAAGGAAATGCCTTGAGAGTTCATTTGCTATATTTAGTTTGAAGTTATTATATCTGGCAGAATTAAATAGTTAGAATAACATGTAACTGAGGATATTATAGCAGGAAATATATTATTTCTTAGCATTAAAATGCGACATCTTAAACAGCTATTTGTGGTGCTCAATATATCTATTTAATTTACCAAAGCTAATGGAATAACATTCTTGTGTATGATAATATTTGATTTCAGATGTTCTTTGTAACAGTATTAACAGGGAGTGAAACTGGCCCAAAATTTCCACTGGCCACAAGGCCAGTAAAACAAAGTGGCGTGTGAAAATTTTGGCCAAATCAGGTACTATATATGAGGGTGAAGAAAAATCTCTCAGCCTTTCCCTTTTTTATTGAGCTTCAAGTCCAGGGGTAGCTACTCAGACGAGCTGCTCGGTGGCCTCAAGCAGGATCTGTTCCAGTTTGGCCATGCTGAGGATGAGTCCCCTGGGGACAGCAGACGTCTCCCTTCCTCTTGCGCTGACACCAGCACCATTCGTCAGCTCGTGGTTTTTAACGTTGCCCTTTGTAACCGCGAGGGCCTGCGAGAGCCACTGCTGCTCCTGCTGTGTGCGCGGCTTCGCCCGGCGCCTAAACCGTTTGGCCTCTACCATCAGCCATGCTGCCAGTGCAGTCCAGGGAGAGAACTGTACGCAATACTTAAGCTCAGCTGGACTGACTTAAATTTTACCAAATTCTGACAAAATAAGCTCTATGTCACTTAACATTTTGAACTGTTTTAAACTGGTACAAAACTGAACCTTTGTAAACCGAGCAGCATTTATAATGCTTCATATAGAAAAACGATGCATATTTTTAAGATTTATTACGTATCTATGTAGATATGCTTGCTGGAAAAGCTAGGTCTGTTGTAGACCAAATGCTACAAATTAAGACTTGTGGCTTACCAGTTTCATTTCTATATTTTCTTGAAAAATGTTTCTAGCTAGAGTTTAAATATAAAATGTAAATACTGTACAGATATGTATTGATATAAGTATTACTTGGTGTGCACAAGTGATTTGCATGACAAATACTCTGTATCAATCATTGTTAAAAATGTGATGTTCTATGTACATTCATCGCAATATTAATGTTTTCATTTATCATTAAGACCTGTTGCTTAAATCTGGAGATTTTCTCAAAAATAAAGTGTGAAACCATCCTATTGTATAGCTTCTCATTTACCAAGGACACAGGGGAGGCAGGTGCTGGTTTTTTTTTTTTTTTTTTGCTTCAGAGATTAAGGTTCAATGTTATGTGTTCTAACTGCTCTGGTAAGTAAAAGGCCTCTTTTCCCTACCTTTAGGCACACTAATTTAAATTACCAGGTTTAAATTTTCAGAGAGAAAAACCTTTAATGGCTAAATAGATTGTTTCAGTAAAGTATGTTCCTGCTGTGAGCGTGAAGTCGTCATGGCCATCTAAGCCTTCATGGCTATCGCGAGCTGGTTTCCCTGGAGCCACCCTCCATTAAGGAGATATTCTGTCAGTTCCCTTCCGTGCCTTTCAGTCAAATATAAAGGGGTGGGAATGGGCTCTCTGCTCCTCAGGTAGATTAATTAGACCTCCCCCAATTAGAAACAGCCAACACTGCTGCAATTGCCCAGTCTGCTCCTCCGCAGCTCTAATCCGAAGCTGTCGCTGACTGCCCGCCCTCCCCTCGCTGCCCGTGAGCCCCTTCAGGCAGGTGTGGCTCCTGGAGCTCTTAATCCAAGTACAGCAGTCACCACTTACACATCTGTGCCGGAGTTTGTCATCCTACAAAAGACAAGACACCACCAAGTCTTGGAGCCAGAGGACAAGAGAGGAAAAAAAAGCCAGATACAGGAGAGGTATGTGGTTTCTTTGTCATGTTACTTTATGTAACTTCACATAACTGTTGCCATAGGAACATTATGCAGGGTACACTTATGGTTTGGCTTTATGGTGTTCTCCATGTACCAAAATATTACTTTAAGTATTAGTAAAACATTAACCTTGCTCCTTTGGTTTTTTTTTTAGTGTCACACACAGTAAAAAGTTACTGCAGAGCTTCCAACCTGTTGCCTGGTTTTGGAAGCTTTTAACGTCAAAGGAGAAAGCCTTCTGCATTCTTGTCTAGGCAGCTGAAGTCCCAAGTTACTTATCTTCTGTAGGTCACACCGACAGCATCTTCTCACCTACCACTGAAAGGAAGATCTGATTTCTTGAGTATCAAACACACTCTGAAAGCTGTCAATTCACATGACATATTGCATGTTAAATAACTCAAGTAAAAATCCATTTTAACTTTGCTGTATTTATATACTATATAAATTTTACATGCTATATATTTACAGTGGGGCAAGTGCTTTTTATCTTTAAAAAAACAAAGATCAAATTTTAGACATCTCTGAACAACACAGCTTGTATAAACCAGACAGATTATTCAGATGAACTGTATTTAATACAGGTTCCCCACTCATCTCCTGATGCAGGACCAGTGAATAATAAGTGCATCACAGTTTGATAGCATTTAATAATAAAAATAAAAATCACAGTATGAATTTGTCTGTAACTAGACACTTTAGAGAGACAAAACAGACAACTGAGACTTAAGACAAGTGACAGTATATTAAGAAAATGTAAAAGAGTATACAAATAGTCTTCAGAGATACATTCAGAACTGCATATTCGTTTCACAATGTTGAAAACCAGATGATGTTCTTCAGATCTTGAATATAACTCAGATGTGAAGTAAATTAGTTTCTAGTGTCAGATGTCACAGAAAAGAGATGCAGCTCTTGTGAAACTCTACTTATTTGAGAGCGTGTGAAGTTTTAAATAAGTCTTTAAATTAAATATACAGACTGTCAGTTGCAATTTTTATAATTCCTGGTCGCTCTTGCACCAGATGTCTAACTTGGAGTAACATTACATGAATAACATGAAGTCAACCTGAGTCTGTTATTAAGCAGCATTTGAGATGGTCTATTCCAGGGCATTATCTCACACCAGTGAGATGGTTGTGTGGTAATTTACAATGTTCAGCAGTTGTAAAAAGTTTCCACCCTTTTGGATTAGAAGTACTTTTTAAAAAAGAAAGTCTCAAAACCTAAAAAAAAGTTCTTTCGTGGTAAAATTCTGTACAGAAATATTAAGCACCACTTATGACTGGATTTTGTCTTGATGGTAATTAATACTAAAATATAGGTTTTGAAGGTATTGGTAATGTCTAGGGTCGGGTTTGATGGTCAGTGTCGGTCAAGTCTAGGGTCGGGTTTGATGGTAGGTTTAGTTTAGTGTATTGAAGGCTTCCATCAGTAAGCTCCGCACCTGAAAGACAAAAGGAAGCAGTGTTGGTGAACTGTACAGTCTTAGGACAAAGCTAGCGGCTTTAACAGCAAATAGTAGACTTTAAGTAAGTTAAATTTAGTTGAAGTTTTGCCTAGACAGCATCCTTGTTTTACTAACAATCTTGTGGTCAAGCTGACCTAATCTTACCCACAAAACCAGAAGCCTTCAGAAGCTTGCTGGACAGAACATGTAGGAATGTAGGAAATTAACTGCTTTAAAGCCGCTCCTTCTCCCATCCTATGTGTTTTTTTCTTAAATTGCAAGTTATCACTAGCCCTTTTCATCCTTACTAATTTATTCAAAGTAACATGAGTCCCGGTGAAAAGGCGCAGCCTAGCAGCTCCCGCTCAGTTGTTCCTGGCTCGTTTGGGAGGTTCAATACTCTCTAAAAACACACTGCCCAAGTGGCTTTTTTTGAGATTCCATTCCATCGTTCAGACCATCGCTGACCTTTCACAAGATGAAGCTAACTAACATCCATGGACTTGATGAAATACTAAAGTTCGCAAGACTTAAAAAAATTGCTTTTCATAGCCCTCAGATCCCACTTGTGTTGCAAGCAGTGCATCAAAGTGGGGTCCTGTTGTCGGGTTTATCAACGAACACCTCTTTCACCTATGCAGCCCAGCAGCTGTAACGCCCCTGGCCTGTGTAACGGGATGCAAGGCATTTACTTCCTTACTCTGCTTTTGACTGGTTTCGAAAAAACCGAGCTTGCCATCTGCTGGCAGATTCACTAGAGCCAAAGGAGTGCTGCGGCAGATGGGGCGTCCTCTGTGCGCAGCCTTGTTTATCAGCTAAACCACAGACACTTTTGGTGCAATAAGGATTATTTTGACATTAGTACTGTAAAAAAGTCTATTTTTACAATAGCATTTGAAAGGCCTCAATTCCGTCCTTCTTAAATCTTCCCCGTTAAAGAGATAAATATATTAGATCTGACAAGAATAATGTGTGAACAAACAAACAGGACTCTCACTGACTATTAACCCCATTCTTAAACTGCAGGTAAGTATAAAATGTAGAAAATTTAAAGATAAAATTTTCTTTTGGGTAGTGAGCTGTCCTCTTCAGGGATTACTTCAGTTATCTATAATGGTAAACTAGATGGTTGGGTGGGGTTGTTTGTTTATTAAAATATCTGAGGAAGTGGGACAGGCTTTATGTCAGATAATGGGCATTTTTATAATAAATTTTTATAATAAACACTTCTCTCCTGAAAAATTTCATAGGAAATATTGTCCAATTTTAGATGTCTAATTTGTCACAGTGTGCAATCTTCTTCGTTGCATAATTCTAGAACTAATTAGTTTAAACCGTAGTATCTACTGAGAGCCCAAGTCAGGACTATGGCAAGCAACAACAGAGAGTTCAGTATAAATTCAGTCAGGCACTTTAGTTTTTTTGTAAGAAGCACCCAAATGACTTTTTTTAATATTAAAAACTGGGAAACAGCTGTTTCATCAGCCCACTTCTCTGTATTTTTAAAGCTATACTAACAGAAAAAAAACCACAAGTAAATAAAACAATAGCAGGAATTTAACTTACTCTCCAGCTTTTCCATTGCGCAGTGTTCTCTGGAGGTTTAACAAGTGTGAATTCAGTGTGTTCAGCAGAAAGCAGGTCTACATCCGAAACAACAATATTTCAGTATTATCACCAACTTGTGTTACTCTAAATAAGCAGTCAGCACTCTTTCTATGTTATGAAATAGCTGAACCTGTTATTTTATTTAAATCAATTACTCTGGCAGTCTTTTTTAGGAAAATGGTGTTTCACTACAGTATTACTAGCCTGAAGTCTCATGTCATCATCTTCACAAGGTTTTTTTCCTAGCCAGCTGGACTGAATTTAATAAGGCATCTTGCATCTCTCCCACTTGTTTGCCACTTAACCATCAGATCAAATTAAAATTACTTGCCCTTCAATCCCTTTGCAGTTTTATTTCAGACTTTCTGTCCTAGCAGTCATTTCAAAACAGGGAAAAGAAAAAGCACCTATCAACTTTTCTTTTTTTAATATTAATGCAGACTGTGTGGAAGCCGTGATATAAAGCAGAGATTTCACCCCACAAGCATTTAAGGATTGTTTCAAATAAAGGTGTCTATGTGAATAAAAAAGGAGTCCTGCAAGCATCCCGTGGCCCCTCACCTTTAACACACTCTTTGGCTGTGACAGAGCTGTGGTTCTTGCTATCACCTGCACCAGAAGGCATCCCTTCCTTGTAGAGTTGTTTGCTGCCCTGGTTTCTGTCCTGGTCACATAAATAGTCTCCCGCAGCGTAGGATTCCTTCTCCCGTGTCTTCTTCTGGAGGTGAAGTTCTAAACGTTCTAGGGACCCTTTCAATTTCCTTTCATGTTTCTTCTTTTTCTTCTTTTTCTTATGTTTTGGATTGTCACTATGAAAGGCTAGTGCAGCAAAATCCAAATCGCAGAGTCTGAAGGACACATGCAAGTTAAAAATAGAAAACCAGATATGGCACTTGATGCATACATGAAACATTACTTTATTTTACCACAGGTGATGACTAGCAGCCCGTCAGCTATTTTGTGGTAATTTCTGCACATGTAACTTACTTTAGATGCAGCAAACTTAAGCCCTCAGATTGCAGGACAACAGGTCCTGGTTTGTACGCAAATCATTAACAGTGGCTAGTTGGGGAATATGTGGAATTTAAAAAAAAAAAAAGGGGGGGGACAAAAATGGTTGTAACCTAATGAAGCGTGCAGATGTGATTCTAACTATGTGGTCCAGACCTGGTGTTCTAACTCAATTCAGCAATGTCTTTCCATTCTTCACTCAGCCAACCTAATGACACGATCCCCAGCCAGATTATGCTATATAAATAACTTAGAAACAAGCAAAAAAAAAAAAAAGGCAGGCATGAGAAACACCCAGGAAAGAATTAGAAAAAAATTGCTCATTATGCTGGAATTCTTGCTTACTTGTAATCCTTTTCCCGATGTTTCTCTTTAGATCTCTTTTTCTTTTTCACCTTCTTATCTTTTTTCATTCCTTCGTTGTCCATCTTGCGACGTTTCATTTCCGTTTCGTTTTCACTTCCTTCTGCATGGGTATGTTTCCTCTTGCTGCGGCTTACTTTTCCACTCTCCTGGGAAGAGTCCTCCAAATGGGAATGAGCCATCGCAGGTGGCAGCGCGTGCCTTTTGCGAGAGGATTTGTCAGCCTGGTGCTGCAGTGCTGCACAGTGAGGTATGCTCGCTCGGTGGCTGCCGAGTTGATGTCCATCTTCCTCTCTAGCCAGTGAGTTCTGAGACCTTCTGCTTCTAGAACGATAATCCTTATAGGACGACCTATTATTGTAAGGCATACCCAACTTGTCAAGGTCTTTATCACAGTAAGAGGACTTCCTCTCTCTTGATCCATGGGATGAATAATAATCATAGTAGTAGCGACATTTTTCCCGCCTCCGTATTTCTTCTGAATAATACCTCTCCCGGATCCATATTCTCTCTCCTTTGGAATCATTATACTTCTTTCTCTCCAGCTCCATTCTCTCTCTGCTCCTTGATTGATAGTGATAATATTTTCCCGAGGTCTTGCCATTATTTGGAACGGTTCTTTCGTTCTGAAAATATTGGTACTTGCTAACACTGCGATATTCCTGCCTCGGACGATTTTGCTCATTTGTTTCCCCAGTGCGAAAGCACTGACTCTTGTTGGAATGATCTTCTGTTTTGCTCCTATTTTGCTTTTCCTTCTCTTCACTGTCTGAATTCTCCCTCTTTTTTCGGTAGTGGTCTTTCTCAGGTTTTTTATAGTCATATGTTTTTTCCTTATATTTTTTCCTATGTCTGTCTTCTTCGGATTTTCTATTACCCAGACCTTCTTTTTGCCTAGAAAACTGGCTTTCTAAAACTTTATCCAGCTTTGTAATAGAGGACTCGTTAACAGGTGGAACATGAATGTAGTTGTTCAAAATGCCCTTTCCATCTTGGCATTTATCTGTGAGATCTGGAGACACAAGGTTTTTAGAACTGTCAGTGTCAGACTTCACGGGTGAAGTTTGTTCTAATTTCTCTCTGGTCTCAGCAGAGTCTTTGTTGTACAACAGATTTTCTTTTGAAATCAGTTTGGGTTCTTTTGATCTTTTTTCGTCTTTGCCTTTATCATCTTCAGATTCGCATTGCCCCAAGAATCCATTTTCAGTATCCAAGGATTTTTTACCTATCTTATGCTGCCCGTTGATTTGGGGATGCACACTGTCAGCATTTGTTATAATGATTTCGGAAAATTTTTCTTTGGCAGAGAGGTTTCCAAAATCTGATTGAACAAAAAATTTCTCAACTTCACTGCTGAAGTTGCAAGGAACCTTTCTGGCCTCTTCGTAGGCAAGCAATGCGTTCATTATGACACTTTCTATAAGACTGTCATCGTCTGAACATTTCTGGGGTCCAGGGACACTGCACAAAATAAAACCACATTTTTCACTTTTAAAAGTCCGTCTAAAAGATGAATGTTAGGAGTAAAATCCCCTTAAGAAAAAAAATTGGTGGCTACTGGAAAACTCCAAAAGACATTTCCTTTAGAAACCTATTCTTACACTTTGCTCAGCTCCCAGAGAAGTTTTTTTTTCTCTTGATTCTGCAAGTATTGCATTAAAAAAACCACACCCAGCACATCTGTCTCCCTCCACTTGCTGCTCTGAATCACATCAATAGCCAAAACCACTGTATTTGCTCTCCGCCCAACTAGAAAGACGTCAACATACGGATTTCCCTCTCTCCCAAATCGGAGAGAAGATGGTGGGAATTACATTTACACATCCTAGGATGGAAAAAAGGGGAAAGAGGAATAGAAAAAGTATCCCAGACAATGGAAAAATATTTTATGATGAAACAAAAGTTTTCTAAGAGGCATCCACCTGTATTTAATATCAGAATAATATACGCTCAGTCCTGATGTTTGCAATGCTAAATGTACAGTGTGGAATTCTCTGTACTGATTTCAGTGTTTTACTAAATAGTAGACAGGTAAACCAATGATAACCTTGTATGAAATCTCATTTTAATTGGAGTGAGAATCATTTTACCTTATTTCCTCTGACAAGTGGTTGACCTGGCTGTACGTGACAGATTCGAAGTTTATTTCTGGTGGATGTGGTGACAAAAGTCCAGGCAGCTACAATTAAAATGTAGAAGTGAACAGACAGAAAAAAATACTATCTTTAGCAGAAAACCACTGTTAGCAAAATTTCTACATTAGATGTTAATTAAACAAGATCACTTTGAGTTACATGCGCTATTCCCATTTTATATATTGCCCCACTCCTCCTGCCTTAAATACATGTAGGAAACTTATGAAACAGTATTTCAGCTGAACTTCTCTTAAGTTGACATGTTCTCATAAGTCAGCTCAGCTCTGCATATTCTAATAGGATAATAGCACAAAGTGCTATCATGAGATTTGTGCTGGTGTGTTTTCTTGGTACTTCAAGTGAATTCGGAACATTACAATGCTCCTGAATAAGGAATACATCATAGGTCAGAAATTCTAGATGGAACTAACATAACTCACTGTTTCAAGCAGTTCATTTTCTTCTAACAGTTCATCAAAACTAATAGCATCACTTAGCAGTTCATTTTCTGGCAACTGGGTTCTTTCCTCTTCAGCATTCTGATGTGACAAATTGGAATTCTGCAATGTGTGGACCACTGTTCCCATCACAACCCTGCTAGTAGACGCTACGGTGCGATTCCTTCTGAGCAAGCCCTGCGACTCTTCAGCTTTCCGTGAAGATTCTGCACCACCAAGGACTGCATTATCTGAGCCAAGTTTGGGATGACCATTCACTACGGGCTCAACAAAAGGAACACTAGGAATGTCCTGTTTGGAAAGGTTCATAGCAGCTGACACTGTAGATGTATTTGAGGTAGACTCCGCTGCAGAACTATTTGTAACGGTGGATGAAGGGCCAGGCTTGCTTGTATCTTCATCCTCCACAGCACTGGTGAGACAATCTGTCTGTGACACAGTCTGGCACGCGCGCTGTTTGTTGTGAATACTGATGGTGATTTTGTGTGTCTTCGACGGATCCGTTATAGAAGGCCTTGTTATCGCCCAGTTTTGAATGCAAGCTGTTGGTGGAGCTGACGACGGCCTTTTTAGGGTGATATCAACGGTACCTGGCTCCTCTTTTAGTGGCCCGTTGCCATTCAAGTGACTTGAATTCTGTATTTAAAAAGAAGAGATTGCAAGATAGATATGTGCAAACACACAGCATTTGAAGTTTTAAAACATGAAATTCTCCTACTAAGTATTTCTACAAATTGCCTCAACACCTAAGAAAAATGTTTATTTGAAGGGAGGGGGTGTTAAGTCCAACAAGTGCGTTTAATTTCTGCTTTTGGTTTACTGCACATTGATATCAAATGAGCATCGCTTTTGAAACCCACCCAAACAACTTAACATTGACTAAAGCTATTCCTAAATATATTTATTTTCCCCTTTAAACATTCCCTGAAAATACTGGAATAATTGTTCTGGTACTCAGGAAAAAGACAACTTGTTTTCACTGTCTCAGCTAAAGTGACACTGATGGGGGGGGGAAATCTTTACTTTTTTAAAATTGTTTAAGCATCAATGGACTGCTTAAATTGTCTCAAGAGCATAGTTCTCAGTGCTGAGTTGTAAGTATATAGTGAAGTAGTATGGCCACACAATTTAGGAATTAGCCACTGTTTGAATAATTCTGGCTGTAGAACAAGGGCTGTGAAGAAAGCTGCAGTGTGGGAGGGAAAAATAACACTCAGATGCTAACAAACAACAAAAAACCCCCACACCAAACCCAAAACCCACTATCAATTTGGTGCCATTATCTTCCCCCCTCAAATTACCTTAATCGTAAACGGAGGAAGCCGTGGGCTCATGCACCCAGACTGCTTGTTGTTAGTCCCTTGCTGACCAAGGAATGAGCCAGGGTAAGATGGCGCTGGTAGGTAAAACGCACGCTCCGCAAGAGTCAAATCATAGCGCCTGGGGAAGAGAGCAGTGATCTTAAAAGTTTTTCTTTCAGCCTATTCTGGGATTAAACCCCATGCTACGATTTTACAAGAACAGTTTATAATGACACAGAAGATATACACGGAAGACTTAACCAAGATGACAAGCTGAAAATTATCTAATGGTCTTCCTACAATGACTATCATTTTCAGAGCAATAACTCATCCTTACACCATCCATGGCCCTATTTTCTCCACTTTCCTAAGTTAGCCAGCTACAGAGAGCAGATACATAAAAATGTACACAAGTGCAGTGGCTTAAGGCCAAGCAATGAATGACAATAAATAACACAGGGAATTTCAGGTTGGACACAACTGAATTATACTAACAGTAATCTTTTCCTAGGACAGAAAGACACTTGAAAAGAAGAAAAATATCAGTAACAGGAAAGCAAATACATTCTGAACACATTTAGTATTTGTTATTACCTGATGTAAAAAAGTACGTAGGCTTGCTGATTAAGCACTGTTTCAATATCGGAAAGCTCTACCGTGGCGTCATTCATCCTATACCAAAGTCCATTTCCAGCCTGAAAATAAAGACAACAACATCTTTAGATGAATTGCATGTTTTCCAAATGACATCGCAGATGGAACACAACAGAACACACCAAACAAAACACATAATGCAACCTTTTGCCCTAAAACCAGTGGTTGTCAGTAACATTTGAATTTATTTGTCAGCACAGATTTTACCCTGCTAGAAATCAAGCTGATACCTACCTTTATAAAGCAAAGATAATGCCCAGCATTGCAGCTGAAGCCACTGTGTACAAGCACGGCATATAACGCATAGATCAGTGGTTCTCCCGTTGACTGAGACATATAAGCCCGAAGGTTGAGATATTCAGGATATTTTACATCCTAAAGACAGACCAACAAGATTCAAAAATTAACCTGAAATACTTCATGGAATAGCCTGAGAAAACCACTTTCTAAAAAACACAGACTAGAATTATAGGAATATACTTTTGATTCTTTTAAAAACACCTATTCTCATTAACAACATTTAATAACTTAAGTTGCAGAGAACCATTTTCTACAGAATTAGCTCTTTAAGAATAGGATATATTCTTACGGTCACACAGGAACTTTATCATTATTAAAAAAGAAAGAAGCAGCCATAGGTGTTATATCGATTTTTCTTATGGTTATTGCCTGCAAACGTTAACAACTTTTCAATGAGTATTCATCTTTGGGAAATCTCTCATTCCAAGAAGATAAAGCTGCATTACAGCTGTAAATATACCTTGTTGATCTTTCCACCTGTAAAATTTGCAAATCTTTTCAGCGATATTGTAAGGACATTAGATGAACGATGTATCGTGTACCTCTTCGATGCAGGGACCATATTTTTGCACCTTAAAAGCAAGCACACACAAACGTTTAGCAGCATATTCTTTTCACCCCCCAAAATCAAGCAAGTTTTCATCTCTCACACATGCTTACGCTATGTGAATGACATTTACTTGCATAATATGTTTTTTCTTTTCATAAATCCATACACTGTATTTCAGGTTAGTTAATAGAGAGAAGATAGCAGGAGATAAGAAGACAGCTCTACAGAACAAAGATTAAAGGAGTTAGAACATTATCTTTTGATAGCCAAACAAATGTCTGAACATGGGTCTTTTTGGCATAACAAAGATAAGGATTCCCAACAACTCAGCACGAAGAAGGACCTGGAATCTCTCTCATCACCACCATGTAAGGCAAGGTATCATTTCCTGTTACCAAAGTGGCTATTTTGAACACATGGCATGGATACATTCTTCCAGCTTCCTGGAGGAACACAAATATTTAAAGTCGAACACGAGAGTCTTGATCCTCAGGACTAGAAACTGCAAATAATTTCCAAAACGGATCATATATCAACGTAAAAAAACACAACGGAAGGAAATAGTCCCTTCTGCAGGAGGGAGACACTGGACAGTAACAAGTCTTCATGTACTGAGGTTGCCTGGAAAGACACGGAAACCATCAGCAGTCCTTCGAACACAATTGTTAATTGTAAATTTGTTGGACTGCGCACTCACAGCTAGGACATGCAGAGTAAGCCACGAAATTCAGCCACTAGCACAGAGAAAGACTGCGTTATGTCAGTTTACATCATCAAGAAAAATACTGTTGATAGTTAACAAACTGAAAGAATTAAAGAGTCTCGTTTCAAATCCTGATGTCAAATACGAGGCAGAGAATTCCAAACTGATAAAACTGATAGGAGAACGCATATAAGCAAAAAAAACCCCACAAAGAATAAGCAAAAAAAGAAAAAAAAAGTTCTGAGGCAGTAATCTTTGTTAGAAAAATTCATGGTAGAAAAGCAAAACTTCAATTAGGAAAAACTTAAAAGTAAGAGAGTAGTTCATCAGCAATGGAAAAGATACTGTACATATGCTAAACCTTTCTTTTTAAACTCACAAAAAGACTGAAACTTCTGGATTCGTGTGTGACTAAACTGATCACACCCCACATTAATCATGCAATCCAGATGTGAGGTGCTTATTACAGTTATCTTACTCTTCCTCACCCATAATCTGCAACCTACAAGAATTCTTCATACGTTACAAGTTGCTTGCTAGGATCCACAGAATAAAATGAACCTGGGATAAAATTCTTGTAATAGCCTACTGGACGCTCTTTGTTCAACATCTGCATTCAAATGTACTAATGAACTCATAGTTTCACAACAACAAAACACAGGTATTGCGTTTTTCATTTAGAAGGACCAGACAGGGACGTTACAGAACCGAGCCTGGCAGTCATTGCTTTTCTGAGTTTGTGTTTGAATAACAATTTCTTTTGCCGAAATACCTTAATACAAATGTTCAGTGCTCTTAGACATGTAGAAACATTTTACATCTTGATCAGCACATAGGACATCTTAACTCCATATGCTTTCACGAAGCATAGGTTAGGTTTAGGGTTGCTCATTTCAGACAACAGCAGTCCACAGGTTTTACAATTCAACGACTGCGCACGACATTGTTCAGAGAGCCAGCAGAGGCTGCTAATGTTAACTGTCACTGAGTCTGTTCACATTCACTGAGACCCAATCTCCCTTTGTTCCACAGGGAGCACCAGGACCTTCAGGAAGCTGATGTTGCCTCCCACCCCAAACCATTGTCCATAGCTCTGTGCTTCAGCTCACCACTACTTCTCGGCCATGCCTTTTAACTTCTGGCCATGTGAATACTTCAGCGTGCAACTTCACACTTAGGAAGGCTGACAAGCCCCAGTGTAGACAATACTAGGAATAAAAGTCTAAGGTGAGCTAATGGCCACAGTTCTTATAATGTATTTCCAAACCTTCAAACAGAAACATGAAAACTACTCTGTTAGAGACAAATGCATTCTTTTTCAAGCTTTGAATGATTTCAGTGTATTAGTTGTATAAACAGAACTAAAGAACAAGAGAACTGTGTCTCATCTTATTTTTAAACAAAGTTAAAAGATAACTTCTGCTCCAAGTCATGCAATATGTTAAACACTTATCTTGTCTTAAGATGTAATTAGTAATAATCTTACTTGCTACACTTGTAGCTATTTTCACCATCGAGCTGTTCTGGTTTTACAAATTGTTCGAGGGCTCTGGTAACAGATGTAACTGCCTGGATGAGTAAGAAAGTAGAGCACTAAGTCACTGGAAATGCAAAATTTCAAACACGTATGAGTAGTTTACAAGAGAATCTTGCTAGTTCATACTTAAGTGACCTACTGTGAACCAGCAAACACTGTGAAGAAGGCAGAAACAGAGTACGCTGAGCATTCACCTAATTTGAAAATTATTCTACTTCAAAATAAATAAATTTTGCAATACCACAGACAGAACTTGTGTGATGCTTTGGCATCAGTAATGACAACAATCAAACCCACTAGTCTAACAATAGGTGTATACTGAAGTAGAATAATCGAGAAGTATGATAGTATCATTGTTTGTGTAGATACAATTATTACTTTTCCAGCTTAAATCCAAAGCAAATATGGAGACCATTTACATGGCCTCCACAAAATAACAAGGTTCAATCCACTCCCATCCACCACCAACCTCTTTTGTTTTAACAGTGTTTATTTTTAAGTAAAATGAGTTCATTTTAGAAAGCTCTACAAGTACTCGCACATCTCAACCCATATACACAAAACAACTTACCTTTATATCCAATGTAATATCAAGAAATGGCTCATATGTATCTGAGACAGCTTTGCAGCTCAAGCATTTCACTGGAATCAAAATACAAATGCTTAACAATATGTGAAGGAGACTAACTGTGCAAATTTAAATTATTAATACATCTTACTTTAGTCAAACTACAAACTCTTTTACTATAGACGGACAAAAAGACACAGACCAGTTCGAAGGGCAGTAAGATTTGTCAAAAGTACCTCGGGATCTTAGGTATCCTCCAAAGATTTGATAAATAAGAGTGGTCGCTTGAGAGGATCTGTCCAATCTGGAAATAAATTATAATCAGACCTCAGAAGGTAGAAGGCACAGAGTCAACTCTTCAAACAGTTTTTCTTCTTATGAAAATGAAGGACATAGATTTTAATTTATGATAGTAAATAGAGGAGTAAGAGGGGCTGGAGACAATTTAAAAGTTAATTTTTTTATGCTTACTTTGTGCTTCCATTTAGGCAAGCTTTCTGCAACGCATCAACGGTGAAGCACAAGAACTCATGTGCATCCTCTTGACTCCCAAAACGGAAATGTTTTCCTATTCCTAATAAATAAGAAGGTTATTACATTTATCTGATATAAAATTAAAGAAAGCTTGCATTTCTAAAATATCTCTTTAAAGTATCAAAATTGTTTATATGCATCAAATAATTATTTGAAAAATTTAAAAATATCCAAAACCAAAATAATCTGAAATTGCTTACTTTTAAGGCAATTGATCACAGATGTAGGCTTGACGGCACTATGAGCAAAACAGAGGACCTGGTTAACATGTGTCTCCATGGTACACATCATACAAAATCCTTCCACACGACCTGAAGAGTGTAAGAAGAAAGCATCCCAGTCTAGTCAAACATGTATTGCTACACAAAAAGCTAAAAAACCAATAATCTTTAAGTTACAGTGTAATGTCCACTCTCTATGCTACATTCTTGTCTCCTACGGTGTCAATATCCCAACAGTTTTGCCACATTTTATTATGCAGAACTACACAGAATAAAAATGTCGATTATTTATTTACTGCATTAAAGTGCATTTTCTGACGAGAAATCTAAGTAACTACTACAATGTCATTTTTTTTTTTTTGCATGCTGATGGGAGCGTGAACCCCATGGACTGCAGAATGTATGAGAAAACAATATTGACATTGATGATACAGCACTAAGAGAGAATGTGTGTTATTTTCAGCACGCTGCTGTTAGGTGAGCTACATGACACAGAGCTAAGAGTCCTGTGGGAGAAAGGAAAGATTAAAGTCATGTATGTGTAAGTATTTCTGCCCTCCTTTTTCAACAGGATTCTTCACTGAAATAATTTTTATGTATGGTAAGAAAACACAGTTAAATTTCTAGGAATAAATATTAAGATACCAGACTAGAAAGCATACAGGTGCCTTTGTAAAAACACACACATATGGATATGAAAAGAGGCTCCTAGGCTTCAAAGAAATCAAATATAAAAATGAAATTCAAAAGAACACAAATTCAAGGGTTTAAAAAAATACAAAATGTATTTAGAATTAAATCAGTCTAAATTTTAATACAGTCCCACACAATTTCTGTTTGAATTCCTAAGAGACCAGCTCGTAGTGCTTTCTGCGGTGGTTCGGTTTTTTTAATGAGTCAACAGTGAACATCTCATTTAGAGCAATATTAGTGCCTTGCAGTATCTAGGCTGTGAAGACTCAGAATCTACGACGCCAACATCCTAAATTTTATCACCTTTCTACCAGCAGGAAACCCAAATGCCAAATGTTCATCAAATGCCTTACTTTATGATGCACTTCATTATTCACATGAAGCAAGAAATAATCTTTTTTTGAAGTTTTACCATGGTGCATTAAATGAACAAATGCCCTTCATAAGCTATTCCGAGCCTCCTGTTAATATAAGGTTCAAAGCCAGCTTCTACAGATAAAATAGGACAACTAAGAGTTTTCTTCACAGAATCAGTGTTATTCTCTCACCTTCAGAGCTGTCCAATAGATTTATAATAATGTTAGAAAGTACTCACATGACCGTGTATGCTCCAGGGATAACATATAGTTTGCAAGTGGAGGTGTGTATGTCAAGCATTGCAAGGTGGAATTCAGGAAACACGTGTTGCCAAGATTTTGAAGCCCGACGCCAACATTTTGTGTCGGTTTCCAATCCAAACAGATCTTTTCTGGTGGGAAGAGAATCCGCTGAGGTGGTGCAATTCCGTCATTAACAACTGCAAGGAAATTATATTTGAAAAGAGATGTATTGGTTTAGTTTTAAAAAGGATATTTAAAAAGTAGCATTCTGCAGGACCACCCAGACGAACCAGCTATACTCCAAAACACAAAAACATAAATGCACAGCTTTAACGCTGCCACTCAAATTTGCTGGTCAAGACACTGTTTTGGACAATAGTTTATTCATCTGTTTTAATTCTTCTAATGCAAGACAAACTACCACTCTGATTTTAGTAACTTTTGCCAGGTTTCTTTCCATCTACATTCTTCAATATGATTATTAATTCTTTTTTTTTTTTGCCTTATTGTAACTTAAACCACAAACCTACACTTGTAATTATATGGTAATAAACATAAGAACCAAGACAGAAAAATAAGAAAGTAACTAGCACAGAAGGCAACCCTATAGATTACAGATTTCTTCCTGAGCAGTGTTATCACTCAAAGACTTGTGAATAATGAAAGCCATGAATAGCAATGGTAAAATGTTCTTTTCTCTGCACAACAGAAAAGACCTGGATAAGTCTGTGTATTATAAAAAGCTCCCCAAAATTGATTGTAAATAGGTCAAAACTAAGTTTTGCAACACCAGTCACTTCAGTTGCCATAGGGGATTCACAAAATCGAGGTCCACCGCTGAAGTCTTTATTCATTGTAGTCCCATTTTATAGCAGTGTAACAAATAAGAACACTTTCTACTTTAGTTTTCTTTTTAAGAAAAGGGGGGAAGACGAAAGACACACTTACTCAGATCTCTCTGGCCAAACCGCTTAGGTTTTTCAGCTGTTCTACAAAAAATAGCACCTCCTGGTCCTTCAATGGCAGCAACTTTTTTTGGGTTGTCTGCAGGCGGTACCCGCCTGATATTCGCAGTGCGTGATGTCATTTTTTTAGTACAGGGTTTCTTGGATGTACCAGACTGCTTGGGTGATGGTTTCTTAGGTTTCTTGGATTTCGACTTATTGACTATAGTCATTTTTCATATCTGTAACAGAAGCAAAAGTTCTGGTTGATAGAAGAACAACAAGAAGCAATCAAGAAAGAAAAGAACAGGAGAAATCCTGTAACTTAGTCTCAAAGAAATAACTTGAACAACTAAATAGCTGATGAGAATGATTAAAAAAAAAAACAAAAAACAAACTCAACCAAAAACTAAACACACAAAGCAGAATTTTCCATCAAAACTGTACCAATATTACTTTTAACTTCCACAGAGCTGGTGGCTGATGATATTTCTTACACTTTCACAGGATTTTAATCCATAACAGTTATGAAGACTTTTTTTAAAAAAAAAAAACTCTTTGCAACTCTTCCTATCAAGCAAAAAGTTGAACCAAAAAGCATCTTTTTCAGTTCTAGTTATGTAAAGTTGTACATTTTTCCCTGGCAAAACAACAGAGGAATGTAAGCCATAAAAAGGAAATGCTGAACGTAAAAGACAGCAAAACAAACACTCAGCTCTCAAGGACAAAAGCAATAACTGATATTAAGTCCTTTTCAAAATGCTCATTAGGTTTCAAGATGGTCCCTCTTCAAATACGTATAATTGTGTGTGCATAGTAAGCCGCTGAATAATTACACGATCAACTATCAAGCACTATACAACAGCAAATCTCAGCGCTAGGAAGAACAAATCAGATCCACCACTTTTTCAAAGTATGTCAATATAATTCTTAATTTGGACATAACACGTCTTTGACAAAGCAGTACAGTAACTATAAACACCAATATTTTTTCCTCTTCTGTTGCCCAATGCATGTACAGATTCCGGTTTTGTGCCACTGCTGAACATAAATCCCTACTGTCGCTTCTGCTGAGCGTTATTTCCCCGTGCAGACGTTGTAATAGACTTTTCCCAGTACGATATTGAAAAGTAAATCAGAGGAAACGGTCACTTTCCTCTTATTCGGAGTTCTGCATCAGCATCGTTTAGATTCTTTTTTCAGCAGTCTCATCCCAAAGCACATCAGTTATGACTTGAATCTCAATATTTCTATCTGGTCTCTGCTTTGCAGGCAATAAACCCCCACCCGGGGTCCCATCCAGGGGCTGTGACCACGCACTCGCCTCGCTACAAACCGAACTTTTATTTTTTTAAAATCCGAGCCGAAACCAACGGCCGCCCGCAAACATGCCGAGATGGAAACTGGGACCAACTGACAGCAACTCCAGCACAGGTGCGAGGAGCAGGCACGCTCGCATCTCTACAAACTCCAACACCGCAAAGAAAAAAAAACACAAAATAACTGAGCTGCAGCAAGCCCCCTCGGCGCGGGTTCCACTCACTTTGAAAAATAACCCAGGCAGGACAGGCGAGGGCAACGGCCGCTTCTCCCTCAGCTGTAAGCCAGCTAGGCGCAGACCGCTCCGCGGGCTCCTGGCTGCCGGTAGGACTGGAGACCGCCCCGGTGGCCACCTCGGGT